ATTCCTCAGCACCACATAACCAAAAAGAAAAAAGCCAGAAGTGGCGCTGGGGCTCAAGTGGTAGAGCGCTAGCCTTGAGCTGAAGAGCTGAGGGACAGCGCCCAGGCCCAGAGTTCAGGCCCCACGACCGGACCCCCCCAAAAATCATAGCAGTAGTGAAGATTAAAATAAATAATACTTAGAATAAATATGAAAGCTTCAATAAGCATCTAACAAGAAGAGATATTGTTATTGACACAGTATTATTGTGACATATTGAAAAAATTACCTGTAACAATGTGTATAAATTTAAAAAAAAACATGAAACTGATAAAAAAGAAAAAAAATCTCTCTTTTCCTAGAGAAATGCCCCAGAGTCAGAGAGAACTGTGAATTCCAAGAAAGGGACATGTGTACTAAGGACAGGCAATGCCGAGACAACAAGAAGTGTTGCGTCTTCAGCTGTGGGAAGAAATGTTTGGATGTCCGACAAGGTAGTATTCAGTGCTGGAATAACCACCTCCTCTACCCATGTCCTTCCCTTTTGGCCAACTGGAGTGGCGTTGTCCTTTAGTTCACAGAGGGCTGGTCTCTGGGCAAGATTTCTGGATTTGAAAGATCTGGGATTTAGATGCATTACTGTGGCTAATATGGTAGGTGACACTGGTTATGTTCTTATCCCATCTGATAATATCTAGGACTATTTCTAAAAAGAAAAAAAATGACACTAACAGGAATGGGATTGAATCAAATGGCTTATTGGCTATTTGTCACTCATGATTTTCTGAGTCACCAGGAAGCCATTGTTGTCCTAACATACACCAACGTTGTTGCTGCAAGTGAATGAAATCAATTTCCCCTAGCTTTGGCTCCTGGTTCATTGCCTCTCCACCTGTACAAATCCAACTTTTCATATTCATCAATTCTAGGAACTTTAGAATTTCCTTTCTTATTTATTTTATGGCCCATTCACTACTCAATAGTGTGTTGTCAAGTCTCCTTATTTTTGATTGTATCTTTAACTGTCAAACCCTGGTTTTATTCCAATACCTGCTCTCATTCTGATGGGCTTCCTAGTCTATTGGCTATTCTAAAAGCCTCTTGTATAAGGATGGGTTTCTCTTTTTCAAGATTTGAGAAATTGGGGGTGGAGACGTGAATCAGTTGGTAGAACGCTAGCCAATGAGCAAAAGTGTCAGGAACTGAGTTTGATTCTTGGTTTCAGACCTAAAAAAAAAAAAAAGACAAGATTTGAGACGTTTGCTTCCAAATGTTTTCTACATCTTCAGCAGTCACCTCCTCCTCTTCCTCTATGCCTATCATTCAGGTATTTAATCTTTTAATAGAGGCCTAAAGTTCTTGAAAATTCCTTTCATGTTTCTCTGATCTTTCTGTATTTTCTTATTCTGTCTCCCATTTCATCTGCTTTGCTGGAGAGGGTTTTCATTGTATTCTTCATATTCAGGACTCCTGCTTCATCTTTTTTTGGAGTGGACTTCATTGTCTTTATTGATAGTAGTTTTCATGTCTTGCATGGATTTCTTTATTTCATTTAGTTGTTTTGAAAATTGAGAAGTTGAACAGGTGCTGGTGGCTTATGCTTGTAATTCTAGATACTCAGGAGGCTGAGATCTGAGGATCATGGTTCCAAGCCAGCCTGGGCAGGAAAGGCTGTAAGACTCTTGTCTCCAATAAACCACTCAGAAAACCAGAAGTGGCTCTGTGGCTCAAACGGTAGAGTGCTAGGCTTGAGCTGAAGAGCTGAGGAACAGTTCTCAAGCCCAGAGTTCAAGCCCCACTACTGACCAAAAAAATGAAAAAGAAAAAGGAAAATTGAAAAGTTGTCTCTTCAGAATCTTGTATCTCCTTAGCTGTATTATCATTGATCTCAGTTAGCTATTCATTTACTTTTACTTAATAGCCATCGAGCTTTTGGAATTCTTTTTGAATTCACTCAAATATATTTTTAGCATTATCTTTTATTTCATTGAGCTGTTTATAAATATCCCCTTGCATTTTCTTGAGCATTCTTATTCCTTTGAGCTGAATCATTGTTGTTTTAATCTTTTGTTGTGTGATGTCACTTTCTGTAAGGATTATATTTCCCTGATTTCTCACACTTCTTGTATTTCTATGCTGAGATTTACTCATCTCAAACCAAGATTTACAATTTTTGGTTTGAGATTTTATTTGCCTGAAGTCTTTCTACTGGCTTACTCTGTGTATTAGCTGGGTTGATATGTGATTTCTCACCGTGCCTCAGCCCCAACAAAGGCATCCAATTCAGTATACCCATCTAGATATTTACAGACTGTAAAATTCCATTGATAACATAAGCTACACAACCAATTACATTGTATATTCAAGGGAGTTACATTTTTTATGGTATTTTAGGGGGCTAAAAGTATAAAAAATAATATATGTAGGGGTTGTAACTAGGGTGTTAATAATAATTAGGGTGAAGGAATAGATAAGGAAGAAAGAAGATGAAGAAAGGGGGAACCACATGCATACAGAATATCCCTGTGTAGTTATATAATTCACTTGTGGAGAAGAGTGCAATCTGGAGACTTAGAATCTCAGTAACAAGACTGAAGATATAAGTAAATGATAAATGTACATGTAAAGATCAGAAGCAAGGTAGGGAATGCAGGCTTGATTCAGGCAACTGTGATTGTATGGGACATAGAATGGAGTTGGGGGTACATCACAGAGGAGTTGAGAGAGGGAGAAGGAAGGAAGGAAGGAAGGAGGACAGAAAAAAGAAAGGAAGGAAGAACGAAGGAACGAAAAAAAGGAAGGAAGGAAGAAAGTAGGAAAGAAAGATATCATGTGGAACAATTCCATATTCAGGGATACAGATACTCACTCTGGGGTTTCCTTGCAAATGTATGTAACATATCCATGAAGCTGGACTCACACAATGTGATAGAGAAAAGAATCTGCTTTCAGTTTTGGTCATGGTATTCATGATGTTTTCCAGGAAAAATAATAACATTTAAAAATATTTACTTTTACTAGGTAGTTGTACAAATGGGTTTCAACCCCAGAAGTCAGGTTAGGAGTACAATGCATCTTGCTCAATGCACCCCATCCATCTTTCCCCATCCCATCCCTACCCTCAAGTTACATAGCTCAATTTTTTACACAATGTACATTGAATACAATGACTGCATCTGCTCACCCTTCCTTTCTCCCTTCCTGTGTCCTCACCCTCTTGTGGTCCCCACCAAAAAAGCAGCTTTCAGCTTCCTAGTGCTTATTTTTATAAAAATGATTTGTTAGTTGCAGTAACACTTTTTTCCCCTTAGCTGAGTATTCTGAGTTCTTAACTTGGGTGAGGGTATCTTTCTACAGATGTGTGCCAACTTCCAAAGGACTCTGGCCCCTGCATGGCTTTATTTCATCGCTGGTGGTATAGTAATGAAAATAATACCTGCTACAGCTTCATCTATGGTGGTTGCCAGGGAAACAATAACAACTTCCAAACAAAAAACATCTGCCAGAATGCCTGCCAAAAAAAACGTGAGTCTCAGAGCCCTTGGCTCCTATTCTCTCACTATGGCCCTTTGGGTGTTGGCTGGCTTGTTCCAGAACAGAGCCAGCTCCAATCAGGAGCCCCAAAAATGTACCTTGAAGAAGGGACACAAGGGTCTTCTGGGAATCAGGAATGGAAGGAGGGTATGGAGAGGTAGGAATATGGGGAGAATTAGTAGCGATAAAGGAGGTGGAATCTCAGAGACCCATCACAGAATAATCATAAAATATCCAGCTTAGCACTGGACACATTGATCAACCAACCAAGTTGCCCACCAACTTCCTCATTGTCAGCCATCCGATTTCATTACTTTCCCTTAAAAGGGTTAAACATCCACTTTAAACCTCTTTCTTTAAACTCTGTGTGTGTGTGTGTGTGTGTGTGTGTGTGTGTGTGTGTGAGCGCGCGAGCGTGTGTGCACATATAGGCCAGTCCTGAGACTTGAATTCAGGGTCTAGAGACTGTCCCTGAGCTCTTTTGTTTAAGGTAGCACTCTACCACTTGAACCATAGCCATGAGATAAGAGTCTCACGGACTTTCCTGCCCAGGCTGGCTTTGAACTGTGACCCTCAGATCTCAACCTCCTGAGTAGCTAGGATTCCAGGACTTCCTTTTATGTTAAAAGGTACATAAACATTTTTGGAAGTTGTGTAGCTTCAAGCTCCAAAGAGAAGCTGAGTTCAAGATGCCATATCTTATACTTTCCCTGTCAACAGGTACCTGAATAGAGAAGCATTCACTGGAATAACCACCATGGTTTGGCCCCCACTTGACTGACACTCCAGACTGGCTTCCACTGTTCCACTCAGCTCTCCAAAGTCTTAGCTCTTCCCAACAGAGGACAGAAGATCTGCCGCCATTCCCTCCATCTCTATCTCTTTCCATGCCTCATGCTTTCCATTGGGAAAGCCTCACCCCTCCATCCCCAACTTCCAAGGCTTGCTGCTTAATCTCTGGGTAGAAACTAATTCTCAAAATAAAATGTTTGGTTTAATCCCGTGCCTTCTGCGTCTGAGTAATTCACATCCGTGGGGGATGTTATTCTCTGTAGAGAGTAAGTCCTCACTGAAGTTTCTGGTGACACCATTCAAGGGTGTGAGGGCCATGGGAACCTAGAGAGTGGAGAGTTCTCTTCAAAAAGTGGTGAAACTGTGGGGCTGGGAAGGTGGCTCAGTGGTAGAGCGCTTGCCTTGCATGCCTGAGGCCCTGGGTTCGATTCCTCAGCACCACATAAGCAAAACGAAAAAAGCCAGAAGTGGCGCTGTGGCTCAAGTGGTAGAGCGCTAGCCTTGAGCTGAAGAGCAGAGGGACAGCGCCCAGGCCCAGAGTTCAGGCCCCACAACCGGACCCAAAAACAAAAAAAAAAAAAAAAAAGTGGTAAAACTCTTAAAATGGAGACCCACAGGCATCACTTTAGTTTGGAAGCCACACAAATGAACTTTGGGCCTGGGCACAAGTAGCTTACCTGTAAGTTTTTCCAAGGAGCATAGGTGTGGGCAGGGGGGGGGGAAGGAGAGGAATTAACTATGTGTCAGGGACACCATGTAAAACATGCCTCAAGTGTTGGGGAGGCTGAGGTATTGATCACTGAATATTACTCCTCACCAGATGCCTGGGACATTAAATCTCTCACTCTTCCAGATTGTTCCACACACAAGCTGAGCAAGCCCTTAGGAAGCCAGAGAACACCCACTGTAGAGAAGCAGGTACGCTGCAAGTTGCTTATCCATAGTGAAAAGGATTCATTAATACACACTGCACTGAAAAACATGTGTGATTCTATTGATATAAAATATCTGACTAGATACATCTATACAGACAGAAAGTAGATTAATAGTTATGGATTAAGGGGGAAAAAACCCAGAGTGACTGCTCATGGGTAGGAGGCTTTAATTTGGAGTAAGAAAAATGTTTTTGAACTAATTGAAGTGAGGTGACATACCATCATGAATAGATGAAAAAGAATCACTGAATGGTTCACCTACAAATGAACTTGTTTATTTTAATTAATTAAGTTTTGCTTGTCCTGGGGCTTGAACTCTGAGCCTGAGCACTGTCCTTCAGCTTCTTGTTTTCAAGGCTAGCGCTCTACCACTTGAGCCATAGCACCACTTCTGGCTTTTTCTGAGTGGTTTATTGGAGATAAGATTCTCACAGATTTTCCTGCACAGGCTGGCTTTGAACTGCGATCCTCAGATCTCAGCCTCTTGAGTAGCTAGGATTATAGGTGTAAGCCACCAGTGTCTGCCTTGTTTATTTTTATTTATGATTTATTTAATTATTTGGGAGGATCACATGAAAATTCTACAGATGTATACAGTGAATTCTGAGCAAGTTCACCTTTTCTATTATACTCTCAATCTTCTCTCCCCCAGCCAAGAAAAACAATATTCTGTGGTTTTGTTTATGCTGTCTTCGTAATACCTATATGTAATATACTTTGATCATCTTTAGCCACCCCTAATCCTCCCCATTTCGCCTCCCCCTCCTGTTGATTCCACCACCCAACACTGCTCCTTTTACACTCAAGTCCCATTATTGTTATTTTTAAAGATTTTTATATCTAGGTCCTGTCAACACAGCAGCTACCAGTTTCATCCATTTTCCTGCAAATGGCATAACTTCTTTCTTCTTTTTTTTCAGCAAGAACTTTACAACAAGAACTTTGTTACTGCTGTAGGGATAACTTCATACTTTTGAGTTATACTCCATGGTGTATATACACCACAAATTCTTTATACATTCATCTGTTACTGGGGTGATTCCACCATTTGGCTGTTGTGAACAATGATTCAATAAACAAAGTTGTATAAGCTGTGTGTTGGTGGCTCATGCCTATAATTCTAGCTATTCAGGAAGCAGAGGTATGGGTCTGGGGATCAGAATTCAAAGCCAGCTTGGGCAGGGAAGTTTTTGAGATTCTTTTTTTTGGGGGGGAGGGTCTGGTCGTGGGGCTTGAACTCTGGGCCCGGGCGCTGTCCCTCAGCTCTTCAGCTCAAGGCTAGTGCTCTACCACTTGAGCCACAGCGCTACTTCTGGCTTTTTCCTTTTTGCTTATGTGGTGCTGAGGAATCAAACCCAGGGCCTCCGGCATGCAAGGCAAGTGCTCTACCACTGAGCCACCTTCCCAGCCCAGTCTTTGAGATTCTTTTTTTTTTTTTTTTTCCAGTCGTGGGGCCTGAACTCTGGGCCTGGGTGCTGTCCCTCAGCTCTTCAGCTCAAGGCTAGCACTCTACCACTTGAGCCACAGCGCCACTTCTGGCTTTTTTCTTTTTGCTTATGTGGGGCTGAGGAATCGAACCCAGGGCCTCGAGCATGCAAGGCGAGCGCTCTACCACTGAGCCACCTTCCCAGCCCCGTCTTTGAGATTCTTATCTCCAATAAACTACTCAGAAAAAGCCAGAAGTGGTGCTGTGGTTCAAGTAGTAGAACACTATCCTTAAGAAACTCAGGGACAGAACCCAGGCCCTGAGTTCAAACCCCAGGAACAGCACAAAAAACAACAACAACAAAAGACCCAAACACATAGAAGTATAATTGTCTCTGTTGGTATTAATTTATATTACTTTGTATATACCCAAGGAGTATAGCAGGCATGTCTACTTTTAGATTTTTGAAGAACCTCTGTGCTGATTTGCAATGTGGTTATGCGAGTTTAAATTCTCTCCAAGGGGCTGGGAAGGTGGCCCAAGGGGCTGGGAAGGTGGATCAGTGGTAGAGCGTTTGCCTTGCATGCTCGAGGCCCTGGGTTCGATTCCTCAGCACCACATAAGCAAAAAGAAAAAAGACGGAAGTGGCACTGTGGCTCAAGTGGTAGAGCGCTAGCCTTGAGCTGAAGAGCTGAGGGCCAGTGCCCAGGCCTAGAGTTCAGGCCCTACGACTGGACCCAAAAAAAAATAAATTCTCTCCAAGTTCTCACTATGTATCCCAGGCTGGCTTTGAACTCTGTTTTTCCTGTCTCAACCACCTGAGTGCTAGATTACAGATATATGCCATCAAGAACTACAAAATTATTGCTTTAAGGTGATATAAGTTCTATCTCAACTTAAGAAAAATGGCTAAATAATAAAGAACTGTCTTGTGAAGTTGCTGGTGAAATCAAAGTGAACTTAATGCGTTAGCAATAGCAGTTCCTACTACAGTCTAGCCCTCTCATTGCTCAGATTACACTATATCCACACTCTACCCTCTACTATTGATATTTGTGGAAATATTCGGGAGCAATCAGTGGAGCATTCTTCAGCTCTGCTGTAGCAGCTAAAGCTGTTACTGATATTGCTACTCCTCTTCTGCACAGCTTATGTTAAATTGCACCTTATGCAAGATACTCTGTCCATTCTACTATTCTTTCCTGCTTTCAAAATAGTTTAACAGTGTCAGACACTCTGAAGATTGAGTGCAACCTGGAGTCCATTTGTTTTCCTTCCATTCTGGTCCCAACAATATCTTTACCCTGACAATAGGTAAAGAAAATGGATAGATGAAAGAAAATGGAGAGGAAGTAAAGAACAGAGAGAAAGAGGCACAGAAAAAAGGAGGGAGGAATGGAAGGAGGGAGAGACAGACAGACAGACAGACAGAGAGGGAGAGACAGAGAGACTTAGAAGGAATAGAAACCAGAAACAAGCATAAGATAAAAACAAAAACAGGGGCTGGGAAGGTGGCTCAGTGGTAGAGCGCTTGCCTTGCATGTGTCAGGAGGCCCTGGGTTCGATTCCTCAGTACCACATAAGCAAAAAGAAAAAAGCCAGAACTGGCGCTGTGGCTCAAGTGGTAGAGCGCTAGCCTGGAGCTGAAGAGCTGAGGGACAGCGCCCAGGCCCAGAGTTCAGGCCCCACTACCGGACCCCCAACAAAACAAAACAAAACACACACACACACACACACACACACACACACACACACACAGAAGCCGGGCACCAGTTATTCACACCTGTAGTCCTAGCTAATCAGGAGGCTGAGAGCCGAAAATCATGGTTCAAAGACAACCCAGCCATAAAAGTCCATGAAATTCTTATCTCCAATAAACAACTCAGAAAAAGCCAGAAGTGGTGCTGTGGCTCAAGTGGCAGAGTGCTAGCCTTGAGCTAGCTCAAAGACAGTGCCCAGGCCCTGAGTTCAAGTGCCATGACTGACAAAAAAAAAAACAAAACCCAAAACAAAACAAAACAAAAAAATCATAAGGAGGTACAAGGAAGAAAAATAGTGAGAAACAGTCATGCTAGGAGAAGAGGGAAATGAAAAAGACGAGAACTAGGATACTCTTGTTTTCCAAACTGCCTCTGGGAAAAGGAAATCTTGAGTTGAGCAACCCTTCTACTAAGCAATGTCCTGGCCAAGGGTCGACATGAGAAGCAGACAGCCTCAGCAGCTGAGGCCCAAGAGCAGCCGATCAAGAGCCCCTTCCCCAGGGCCGGCACTGTGGATACCAGCTGGTTTCACCAATCGCCTTGGGGACTTGATGTTCTCTGCGGAGGGAGAGTGGCTGGCTTGTGTCCAACCTCCTCTCCCGGCGTATCAGGCCAGGGTAGCCACAGCATAGAGGCAGGAGCTTCTGAGCTATTACTCCTGGTTTTGATGCTACCCGTTAGGCCACTACTTCCTCAAATGGAACTCTTGGGACTTCTACCATTCATGGTACCATCCATCCTCTTGAGAGGTGTCCGAGACCCTGGGCTGGTTGAGGGATTCTTCTTAAGTAAGTACTGGGGACACAGGCCTGTCCAGGGAGAGGGACCTTGATGGGGAGGAGAGAATAAATGAAGAATAGTTTCCACAGTTCAGCTTGGGACCCTGGGGCAGGAGAGAGGAGATCTTTGGAAGCTGTATGTCGTCCCTTTCCTCCTGGTAAGATGCTCCTGGTAAATGCAAGGAGCTAGATCTATGCCAACGGAATCCTTATTGGCATTCCAAGGAGTTCTTCCAGGAGATGCTTGGATCTAGAGCCATGGAATCGACTCTGAAAGCTGACTAGTCAAAAAGGTGTCCCCTTAAGGGTAGATCTTTCCCTAGCACTACCCATATTGGTTCCTGTGTTCCCCACAGCCACTTAGGGCCCATGCCGTCGTAGTAAAGAACTTTCCAGAGGTCCCTTGGAATGCTGAAATATGGAGACTGTACAATTGGCAACTAGAATATACTGGGCACTTTAAAAAGTCATGGTTAAGCCAGATGCCAGTGGCTCACCCTGTGATTCTGGTTACTCAGGAGACTGAGAGCTGAGAATCATGGTTCAAAGCCAGCTCAGGCAGGAAAGTCTCTGAGGCTCTTATCTCCAATTAACCACCAAAAAAAATCCAGAAGTGGAACTGTGGCTCAAGAGGTAGAGCTCTAGCCATGAGCATAAAAGCTCAGGGACAGTGCCCAGGACCAGAGTCCAGGACTGGCAACAAACCAATCAAGAGAGTACCTTCCATACCAAAAATTTAACTGAACTCTAAAACCCAGACCTGATGTCAGAAAAGAAGATCTCAAACCTCCTGCCCAACACAGCAAGGACAACTTACCTGACCAGTCCTAGAAGATCACATCCTTTCCCCAGGAACCTAGCAGGCGATGGGGTGCGGGGTGGGTGTTAGGAGTTAGACGCTAAGTTGTTATGGGGCTGAGAGTGTTCCTAGTATGAGAACCCTTGAACTCTCTGAGGGCTAAAACACCTTCTGGGGTCTGGGTCTTGGAAGCAAGAGCAATGGTTTCTTCCAGGCCTCAGGGAGCACATTTCTCCTCCCTCAGGGTCATGTCCTCATATCAGAGTAAAGTGTGAAATCCAAGAACTGGACCAATGTCGGAAGAGCACCCAGTGCCCGGACAGAATGAAGTGTTGCTGGTTCAGCTGTGGAAAGAAATGTATAGACATCTCAGAAGGTACCTCCCAGGTCCCCGGAGCCAGGGGATGCCCTCTTCCCTGCCCCTTCTGCAGTCCCACCCCTCCTCCTGGATCACGGAGATGTGGCTGTAGCTCCTTTTGCCTGTTTGCCCCTGTCACACTAGCAGTGTGGGTTTTCTTTTTCTTTCTGGATCTTGGCATTCCTTCCCATAGACTGATGTGGAAGCTGGACCATAGAGTTGCCTGGCCCTTCTTCAGTGATTGTCTGCAATTAAAGTCAAGTAGCCACTTAAATTCTACCTGATGCAAGCATCATTCCCACGCATATAATAGCTATTAGAGTCAGAATATGTGCTGTAAATATAAAATATAAATAGACAAAATGTAAAATAATATACTATATAAGACAAGGGATATTAAATATAATCATATTATAGATCACATCATATAATAATCGCATGCCAGTACAATAATCATTTATAATATAATAATCATATCACATTTATTGTATATGCTTCAGTGGAGACCAAAAGAGCAGAAGAAAGAGCAAGCGGGTAGGGTGAATGTCCTCCAGGGAGACAGACATCCAAATGGTTCTGCTCTGTGATCTTCCTAGACGTATGCAGTATGCCAAAGAAAGTTGGCCCTTGCTTGGCCTACCTTCCGCGCTGGTGGTATAATAAAGAAACTGAACTCTGCACCAAGTTCATCTATGGCGGTTGCCAAGGGAACCTTAACAATTTCCAATCCCAAGCTGTCTGCTCTGTCACCTGCAAAAGAAAACGTAAGTTCCATGAGGTCTCAGACACCCATGCTCACCAGGCCTACATTGAGAGATCTAGGAATTGGTTTATTTCAAGACCTTGGTTGCTCTGGGGCTGACAGAAGTAGTACAAATTACGAGATAAGGATGTACCTTGCCAGGCGCCGGTTGGTTCATGCCTGTGATACTAGCTACTCAGGAGGCTGAGATCTGAGGATCATGGTTCAAAGCCAGCCGGGGCAGAAAAGTCCGTGAGACTCTTATCTCCAATAAACCACTAGAAAACCGGAAGTGCCTCTGTGGTTCAAGTGGTAGAGCCCTTGCCTTGAGCTGAAAGAGTGTAAGGACAGCGCCCAATCCCAGAGTTCAAGCCCCACGACCGACCAAAAAAAAAAAAAAAACAAATAAAGGATGTACCTTGTGGGGTTGGAGGCATGGCTCAGTTGGTAGAGCACTGGCCATCAGGCAGGTACTGAGTTTGAGTCCGTGTCTTGGATCTAAAAAAGAAAAAGGAAAGAATGTACCTTGTGCTGGTGTCGGTAGGAGGGCCTCTGGGGAAAGAGAGGACAGTAAAGGACATAGAGGAAGGAAAATTGGCAAGTGTCAGTGCAGAGAGAAGACGGTGCAGTGTGCCAGATCAGACCAGTAGGGGCCCTGCACTGGCTCCGTTCACCTGCCTTCCTGACAGGCTTTACTTCTCACCCAGACTTTGAAAGGTCACTTAAAGCCAGGGAAGCCACATACTTAACTGGCCAAAGTTAAAAAGGTGTGACTGTTTATTAAGCTGGAGCAACAGGTATCAGCGGGGACTATACTGGACAAAATAGAATGTCAATCTCCTTGTGAGTCCCCCCCCCCCCCATCTCACGTTGGTTTTCACTTCCTCCCAAAGATGTCAAAATGCTTTCAGCTCTCTTCTGGATTAACTTCTGAATTTGGTTCCTTAAGTGTTTCAACCCTTATTTTGCTATCTTACAGATGCGACTTCCTGGATAGGGTAAAGCAGAGATGGAACAAACCATAGGATTGGCTCATACTCCAGAACTCTCTCCATGTATGCTCAACTGAGGCTTCCTATTGGCTTTCACTGGCCAGATTTCAGCCAATTAAGACTTTGGTATTAAAAATATATATACACAGAATTTTCTTCCTTCCCTCCAATTAAGCTTCTCTTCAATCATGTTTGCACTTCACCCTTTGACCCCCTTAATCAGGATCCCCATTTATTTCTATAAAACTTTCTGTAAGACTCAATGAAGTGCTCTGTGAGGTCTGCTATCTCTGAGTCTGAATAATTTCCATCTACAACATGCAGAAAGACACATATATTCACATCTCCCTATATGCTGGTTATAGAGAACAAGAAGTGTTTAGGCTTCCCCATACTGACAAAAGAAAGAGAGAAGAATGTGAACATTCTAACGCTTCACAACTATGGTGATACTGCACCCTGGCAGCATTGTCAAAAGATGTTAAAAATGCAGCCAGAACAGATCAGACTTTGCATGAGCTAAACCTTACAAAAATTATAGGCTTCTTGAAAACCTCAGTGCGAATGAAATGCCAAACAGAAATTCACAACCAACTGCAAACTTTTTTTCTTCAGCATTTTTTAATTTAACATTTATTATTATTATCTTTAGTTATACAAAGAAGTTCCCCTTCTACAAAACACCAACTGCAAACTTTTAAAAGTAGACGAATACCACAAAATCCACAGAAATTATTAATTAGTGTGTTGCATTCATCATATCAATTCTGTAAGGATTGTGTGTGTGTGTATGTATGAGAGAGGGAGAGAGACAGAGAAAAAGAAAGAGAGGGAGACAGACAGAGACAGAGAGAGGGAGAAACAGAGAGAAAACTGGGGCTTGAACTCAGAGCCTGGTGCTCTTACTTGGCTTTTTCACTAAAGAATGGCTCTACTTCTGGCTTTTTGTTGGTTAATGGGAGATAAAATTCTCATAGCTTTTCTGCCTGAACTGGCTTCAAACCTCAAGCCTCAGATATCGTCTTCCTGAGTAGCTAGGGTTACAGGTGTGAACCACCAGCTCCTGACTCTGTAAGACTTAATTTTTATGCAAAGAATAGAAGGATAGTTTAGTTTTTCATGTAACCTTACTCATTAAACCCTGAGTAAAATTTGATTTTGTTTATAGTTAGGGTGTGTTAAAGATATACCCACATGCAAAGCCATCCTTGATGTTTGAAGATCTGTGCCCTCGAACCACAAGAATGATAAAAAAAATCTTTTATATAATTCTGTCTAAAAGAAAATATTCCTCATGCATGTAAAGCAGCAAATATTGAGTTGTTAATGATATTCTTATGCCCTGGCAAGAAATGAGATCCTATCTGAAACATAACCAGCAAAAGTCAGGGCTGAAGGCATGGTTCACTGGTAAGGGAGGTTACCTAGAAAGCATGAGTTAAAAATCTTAGTTCCAGGCTGGGGAGGTGGCTCAGTGGTAGAGCACTTGCCTTGCATGCATGAGGCCCTGGGTTCAATTCCTCAGCACCACATAAGCAAAAAGAAAAAAAAAAGCCAGAAGTGGCGCTGTGGCTCAAGCAGTAGAGTGCTAGCCTTGAGCTGAAGAGCTGAGGGACAGCGCCCAGGCCCGGAGTTCAGGCCCCATGACTGGACCCCCCCCAAAAAAAACCTTAGTTCCAACAAAACGACATCTCATTGTTGTACATCTCATTGTTGCAATGGGTCCACCTGTATCCCTATTTAAACCATTTGTTTTTTCCCCTTCCCCTCCACAAATTATACCAATATCAAATACAGTGAAAGCAGGGGTTATACCGTGGGAAGTGGGGTAGGGGTAGGGGGTGGGGGGGAGATGGGAAAAGATGGGAAGGGGAAACAAAGGAGGAGGCAACAATGCTTGATAAGAAATGTACTCATTACCCTGCCCCTGTAATTGTAACCCCTCTGTATGGTATTTTCACAATAAAAAATAATAATAAAGAGAGAAAAAAGAACCTTTGGGCTCTTTGAAGACAAAAAAAAAATCTCAGTTCCACTGAAAGAAAATATAACATAGACAAACAATGTAATACCTTTTAAGAGGGAAATCATGTGATTTGCTACCTTAGGGATGAATCCAAAGAACGTTATGTTAAATAAAATAAGCAGAACACAGAAAGAAAAAATGTACATGCTCATATGACATATGGTAGAATAATCAAACTTAGAAGCAGAACTGAGTGGCGATTTCTAGGAAGATGCTGTTCAAAGCATATGAAGGGCTAGTTTGAGTTATGCCAGATGAGTGGGCTCTGGATACTAAAATTCTGAATGATTACACGTTAAACTGTGCCAAATGCCTTAGGAACAACTTGATTGAAGTATGGTACAGGTATATGTAAAGCTGCTTTGAACAATCACTACGTCTTTTAGCACCAATGAAACTTAGAAAGGTGAAACATATCTTGTTTGGGGTGTGGGTACTAGTGGGTGGGCAAAGGATGAGTGGAGAAGATGAAGAAGTAAATATGGTCAAATTACTTTATGTACATGTCTGAAATGGAACAATGGAGCTGTTGAGGAAGAGGGTTGAGTCTGATCAAGGCACATTGTATGCATATATGGACATGTCCAAAGAAACATCTTGGTATAACTAACTGATGCTAATAAACTATGTTTGTTGTTGTTGGTCCTAGGGCTTGAACTTAGGGCCTAAGCACTGTCCCTGAGCTTTTGTGCCCAAAGCTAGTGCCACAGCACCACTTCTGGTTTTCTGGTGGTTAATTGGAGATAAGAGTCTCACAGACTTTCCTGCCTGGGCCGGCTTTGAACGGTGATTCTCAGCTTTCAGTAGCTAGGATTACAGGTGTGAGCTACCAGCACCTGGCTCTAATAAACTTTTAAAAAGAAGTAGTTTGCCATCTGTTTCTGGTGTAGAAAAGATTGAGGGGAGACAGAAGCCTTAAAAGGAGGAGCAGGGCAGGAAACCACTGTAAAATATCTACCTCACTAAGTTGTTCCCGTACGTGACATTTGCTTACTTTAGTTTTTCCTTGCTTCTGTATCTCTGTGGGTCAGTCTATTATCTTTTCTTTGGGGGGGGTCCGATTGTGGGGCCTGAACTCTGGGCCTGGGCGCTGTCCCTCAGCTCTTCAGCTCAAGGCTAGTGCTCTACCACTTGAGCCACAGTGCCACTTCCGGCTTTTTTCTTTTTGTTTATGTGGTGCTGAGGAATAGAACCCAGGGCCTCATGCATGCAAGACAAGCGCTCTACCACTGAGCCACCTTCCCAGACCCCAGTCTATTATCTTGAGCAGCAGCTTGTTCTAGTTTTGCGCAACCTGTATGACTCAGACTAAATTGCCCAGAAGCCATCAGTGGCCTGCATCCTGTTGAAGGAATAAAGTATAAGGAGACTCAAATTTGAATCAACTTTGACCCTCGTTGAATGAATGCCCTACATGGGACAGGATAGGGTGGAGAGATTTTCCTCTCAGAATTTCTTTCTCATCAGTGATGAACTAATGATGTCTTTGTGCATTAAAGAGAATATGACAGTATAGAGACCCTGTCAAATCTAATAAATACCCAGTGCTCAAGAATCCTTTTGATATACTTCGGTCGCTGATTGGAGTTGGCATTCGTGTATGACTAGAACAAATCGCTCTGTTCCAGAAGTCTAGGGACCAACAAGGCCTGAGATGGCCAGAGGGTGCCCTGTGGCTGATATCATCTGTTTACCTATTCTGCTCAGAAATGAACTCAGAGCTAAGCACCAGGAACTTTTACCTTGCAGGCACTCAGAGGAGGTTGATGACCCTGTATCTTGTTATGACCAATGGTTTGCTCATTAATCTGCCTATTGGATGCTAGAAGACACCTCAAGTGGAATCTTCAGGTGTTACTAAGATGTTATCTAGGCCCAGGACTCCTCTTTTCCCTCTTGTCCTATTCTCCCTCCTTGGAATTGTCTCTAGAATTGTAAAAGTTGAGGGGAAGCTGGTATGGTTTGGAAGCACAGAGAGTGTCTGATCCCTACCCCTAATCCTCTATCTTTTTGTCTATATTGAACAAAGGGAAACTTTACACCTTAACAGCAAAACCAGAGCTAAGACTCAGGTAAGAAAAGAGATGGCTGAAGTTGCCAGATCCTACAAACTCCTGACAATCAGGGTAGATTGAGTGACTATTTTTCATTTGGGGATTTTTTAATATTCAGTACCTACATTTGCATGTATCACATTTGACAAATCTTGCTACATTTGAACATTACATGTTCCCAGTTGAAGAATTCCCTACCAGGGGAGTCTTGGAAAGGTGAGACCCTGCTCCAGTATCAGAGCTGATCAGGGTCTCGCTCTGTATTAGACAGGTACAGTGAAGAATACAGAAACCATATTGGGCATTCCACACAGAGATGATGTAACACTAAGAATTACTTATTGGTGACCTGGGATTAAAAAGGAGAACATGCTGAGACATCGATCACTGATAGGTTTGGGAGGAGAAAACATTATTATTGAGACAAGGGGTTGGCAGCTGGAGCCAACTCTTTGGGGAACAGAGAGATGGAAGCTGTGTTTCAGGGCTAGCTCAGTCTTCTAGAAGTATGCTACTGTTGGTGTCAGACCCCCAGAGGCTCAGATGATATTTGGAGCACTAGGTGGGAAGGTATAGCTAGCTGATGCTAGTACTTCCGGGAAGCTTTAGTGCTGTTGGGTCAGAGAGGAATCACTTTACTACTTCTAGGCACATGCTGACTGAAAGCCAGAAATGGGAAAGAAAACTTTCTCCACTTATTTCCCCGAATACAGCCAGATGCAAACTGGCTTGGAAGAGTAAAGGGAAACTGCTTAGGCACAATCTCATTCTCAGCATTGCAGAAGTCTGTCAAAGGATGAGTTTGGGGTTGGGTGACAGAAGCTAAACTAATGAGCACATTTGCTTTCCCAGCCTCTCTTGCAGCTAAGAAGTGGGGGCTCAATGTAAGTGGCCAATCAGATATGCTCACCTCAGACTGTGTTATAGTTTGAATCTAAAATGTTCCCTAAAAGTTCAGGTATTAAAGGCTTGTCGGGCAGATAACAGGGTTTAGGAGAAGTCATAGGATCATCATGGTATGTCTTCCTAACTTGATGGCATTGGTGGGAAATGAGGGAGATTAGGAGGTAGGACATGATTGGAGAAGTAGGCCACCAGAGGGTACGTCTTTGAAGGTTGTACCTTGCCCTTGACCCTTTTCTGTCTGTGTCACTAAGTTTCCTGTCTGCTACTAAGTGAGAACCTTTCTCCCTCTCTCATCCTTCCATGATGTTTCTGCCTTGCCACAGGTCTAGACACAATGGGGTCCATCAATCATGGAATGAAACCTCCAAAACCATGAACTAAAAGAAATCTTTTCTCCTCTAAGTCTTTTGCCTCAAGTATTTTGTCACAGCATTGAAAAGCTGACCAACACAGACAGTGAGCTGGGATCTAGTGAGCAAAGGAGCTGAGGCAAAGGAGAATTCATTATGAGAGCAGCAGCCACAACAGACACACGTCTCTTGTTTCCAGGGGGTAGCAGAGATGACAGAGACAGCATCAGCGGTGCCAGATAGGTAACCAGGGTCCAGGGTTCTGTTGGTTGTGACTTTGCAGCCTCCTGGATTCCCACTCGTTATTCTAACCTTATTGTTTTTTCTGGGTCTGTTTTTGACTCTAATTTTTTTAATAAATTATTTTCTGCCTAAGATAATCAGAGTTACATTAATGTCTATAAATCCATATTGCTATGATGAATCCTGATGAAGAGATTCTTGGGCCACAAGTACCAAGGATGTAGTCAAAGAAACAGGAAAATCTCCAGAACCTTGCACTCTCGCTTGACTGATTTTTTTGTTTTGTTTTGCCTGTTAATTGGAGATGGAATCTTACAAACTTTTCTGCCTTGGCTGGCTTTGAACTGAGATCTTCAGGTGTGAGCCTCCTGAGTAGTAGCCACAGACAGTTTGACTCTTTTAAGTATCTTTTGCTTTGCTGGTTTAGTAATCAGGAATTCCTTTTTTTTTTTTTTTGACAGTTGTGGGGTTTGAACTCTGGGCCTGGACGCTGTCTCTCAGCTCCTCAGCTCAAGGCTAGCACTCTACCACCTGAGCCACAGCGCCACTTCCAGTTTTTTGGTAGTTAATTAGAGATAAGACTCTCATGGACTTTCTTGTCCAGGCTGGCTTTGAACTGCGATCCTCAGAGCTCAGCCTCCTGAATAGCTAGGATTGCAGGTGTAGCCACCAGAGCCCGGTGGGAATTTCTTTAGTTTTTCATTTAGCAGGGAAAATCTTTATTTCTCCTTAAGTTTAGACACTAGCCTAATCTTGGCAGTTACACTACACTACATACACTAAATACACTACACTAATTTTGGCAGTTGTTTTCTTTGTCTTTTTTTTTTAATTTAATTTAATTTTATTGTAAGGGCAATGTCAGAGTGGTTACAGTTACATAGGTGAGGTGCATATCTTGTTGAACATTATTTCCCTCTCCCTCATTTTCTCCCATTTTCCCTCCCCCACTGACTCCCCTCACCCCAAGTTGTAAAGCTCATTTCCAACATAGTGTCTTGGCAGTTGTCTTCTTTGATAGCATGCCCTACTTGTATTTAAATTTTTTAGGGAGAAAGCTGCTGTTATTCTAATAGGTTTGATCTTGTACATGACTTCTTTCCTCTTCTTTGCAGCTTTCAATATTCTTTCTTTGCTCTGCACATTTAGGGTTTTAATTATATATCTATCTCCATGTCTTCTCTGAGCTTGCCAGTTTATTTTTCTGCAAACCTCCTTTATCTAGATGGCGCTCTTCTCCTTAGGGCCAAGGAAGATTCCTTCTTCTTTTTTGGGGGTCTGGTCGTGGGGCCTGAACTCTGGGCCTGGGCGCTGTCCCTCAGCTCTTCAGCTCAAGGCTAGCGCTCTACCACTTAAGCCACAGCGCCACTTCCGGATTTTTTTCTTTTTGCTTATGTGGTGCTGAGGAATCGAACCCAGGGCCTCATGCAGGCAAGGCAAGTGCTCTACCACTGAGCCACCTTCCCAGCCCTCAAGAAAGATTTCTTTGATAATTTTATAGAATAGGTTACCTATACCTTAAGTTCTCTTTCTTCAGTGGCCACGATTCTTGGTTTAGGTCTTCCATTTTCTATTCGTAGCTATTCTTTACCCACATGCACTCATGTATGGTTGACACAGGGTAAGACTCCTTGAATGGTCTTAAATGATAACTAACTAGCAAGAGCTGCCTGCTGCAAAATTCATACTTGGTCTCCATCTTCTGGAATTACTGAAACACTACGACACAAATCATCTCAGCAAGGCTAAGTCACTGAGTTATAAGCAAATATCCCCCAGGGCACCACAGCTACAGAGTGCCTACTTCCTCTCACACTCACTCACACAATCTGGCCAGATCAGTATTTAAAATCCTTACCTGCTGGCTGGGAAGGTGGTTCAGTGGTAGAGCGCTTGCCTTGCATGCCTGAGGCCCTGGGTTTGATTCCTCAGCATCACATAAGCAAAAAGAAAAAAGCCAGAAGTGGCACTGTGGCTCAAGTGGTAGAGCGCTAGCCTTGAGTTGAAGAGCTGAGGGACAGTGCCCAGGCCCAGAGTTCAGGCCCCACGACCGGACCCCCACCAAAAAAAATCCTTACCTGGAACTCTTACCTATAACCATAAAACATGGCTCTCTAGTGTTGAGTCCTCAAAATATCAATGAAGGAAGGATTTTTTGAATGACTTAAAAGGTATATCCAGTTGGATATGGTGGCTCACACCTGTAATCTTAGATACTTAGGAGGCTGACATCTGAGGATCACAATTTGAAGCCAGCTGGGGCAGGAAAGTTTGTGAGACTCTTATCTCCAAAAAACTACCCAGTAAAAAGCCGGAAGTGGTGCTGTGGCTCAAATTATAGAGCACTAGCCTTGAGCAAAAGAAGTTCAGGGACAGTGCCCAGGCCCTGAGTTCAAGCCCCAAGTCTGACAAAAAGAAAAGAAAAAAGAAATAGAGAGCTAGAGATGCTAACTTTGTATAATGTTGAAGAGAATTAAGTGACAGAGTTGGGATTTGAATCCACTTGAGTTGGATTCTCAACTATAGGTTTTTTCCCACTATACTAGGCCACTTTCAGAAGTAAAAACCTGGGGTTGGAGGCATGGGTCAAATGGTACAGCACCAGATAAGAAGTAAAACTCTCAGTTTCTATGGAGATGATTAAGTTTATAGTTGGGTGGGGAGAGGACAAATGTGCCAACTTTGCCATGTGGCCATGAGCCATGATGGGTTTAGAAGATGAGTTTGGCTTCCCATAGCCATTTTCTCTCTTCTGATCATGCAAACAAGCTCATTCCATTTGGCCACACTTCTTCCTGCCAAAGGCAGTTGTGGACACATCTTTGTGTGGTGGAATTACAATGTGAAGACCAGTAAATGTGAGAAATGTATCTACATTGGCTGCAGAGGCAATGACAACGGTGGCAACAAAATACTGTGTGGGATTGGCCACAAAGTCACCTAATTTCCAGACCAGAACACGGCTCCCCATAGAGGCAAGAGTGTGAAGAACCACTGAATTTCTCTTTTTATCAAGCAAAAGATGCATTCCTGGGCTGGGAAGTCCTGAGTTTGATTCCTAAGTGCCACATAAACAGAAAACCGGAAGTGGCACTGTGGCTCAAAGTGGTAGAGCACTCACCTTGAGAGGAAGAGCTCAGAGATAGCACACGGCCCAGAGTTCAAGCCCCATGACCTCCTCCCCTCACCCCCCCACATCCTTTAAAAGTGTTTCTGCCAATACTGGTGGCTCATGTTTCTCATCTTAGCTACTCAGCTACTTAGCTGAGATCTGAAGATCATGGTTCAAAAGTCAGCCTGGAAAAGAAAATAAGACTCTTATCTCCAATTAATCACCAAAAAGCAAGAAGTACTCAAGTGACAGAGTGCTAGCCTTGAGAGCAAAAGCTTAGGGACAGAACCTACACCCCGAGTTTAAGCCTCAGGACTGGCATACATAATCACGTACCAAAAAAAATTATTTTCTGTTTAAAATAATAAGAATTGCATTTGTGTCTGCTAAGATTCAGAAAGCACGATATGAAGGGACTCTTGGTCTAGAAATCCACAAAAGAAGAGATTTTTCCCCCCTAGCTTAATAGGTGTTCCCATTATGTGCTGTAGTCCAATGTATACCCTTTCTAGAATGTTCCTGAAGCCTATCCTCACTCACACTGTGGCCCTATAAGCCACTGGGTTATTTTACCTTGGAAAGGTCCTGCCACATATGAATGGCTAGGAGGGAGCAGCCCAGAAATTGTTTGCTGGATTCCTTTCTCAAGGGAAGGTCCTAGAAGTAATCTGGACTTGATACAGAATCAGAATAGTCTCTTCCAAATATCAAGATTAGTTCTATGAGTACCAGAGGAGGTTTTGGGCTTCAGAACTTGTCTTTAATGTTGACCTGGGGTCCCTGATCTCCATGTGAACACAAGCAAATTGATGAGTACACAAGGCAATTTGATTTTGTCAATTTTGGAACACCATGAAGTGTATCTCTTTCAGAATGCTATGAAGTCTACCATGAATGTACATAACTTTTGTCAATTAAAAATATAATATATGATAGGATTTTTTAACTGAAAAGCTTAGCTGGACTCAAGCAGAAATGGGACAAACATATACCAATTTTGGTTTTCAAAGTAATATGGACCCAGGAAGGAGGCTGGTAGGACATGGGCTGGATTCTGGAGGCTGGGTTGCATCTCAACACAAAGTGACCCTCTGTAGCCTACGGCTGGGTCTTCTATCTGTACTGAGGTGTTTTGTTTTGTGAGTCATGAGGTCTGAATTGTGGGCCTGGGCACTGGGCTAGCACTTTACCATTTGATCTACAGCACTACTTCCAGCTTTTTCTGCTTATGGAGTGCTGAGGAATCGAACTCATAGCCTCATGCATGCAAGGCAAGCACTCTACCACTGAGCCACTTCCCAGCCCAGTACTCTGTGTGTGTGTGTGTGTGTGTGTGTGTGTGTGTGTGTGTGTGTGTGTGTGTGTGTGTTTGACATTTATATTTAAACATAACGAGTCTGACCTTCTGCCTGTAAGTGACAGTTTCTGACCTATCTGGGAGCATTGCTGTGTGAGGAGGACCACAGATGACCCTTGGCCGTGTTAGTGTCTGAAAGCCCCATGCGCTTGACCCCTGAGAAGCCTCCTTGGCTGTGTCACAGCATAGCAGGCGGCATCATGGCAGAGGGACAGATTACATGGTGAGACATAAATCCAAAGTGGTTCAGGGTCAGACTTACTCTTTGCATAACAACCCACTCTCTAGGGAATTCACTGGGGTCTCAGAGACTCATTTAAATATTCCCTCACCTTTCAACCCCGTGACGCTAGGCACCGCGCTTTCAGGACATGAATCCTGGTGTTTCACATGGATTAGTTTAGTTTCTAACTATAGTACCAGGTTGTAAGTCTAGTGGGGTACTCATCTAAGTTCTAGGAAGAATGTGCAAGGAGTATTTGCCATGCTGTCTAGAAAAGCAAAGACATATGGCAACTGTTGACTGATGTCCTATTGTTCTTTAGTGGTAAACAATTGATCTAAGTGGCCAGGTCAGATAAGACCAGGAGGAAAATGATGGAACTGTCCTTTGACTGGATGTTGTATTCCAGAGATAGCCAGTCCTCCGAGTAGCCACCAGTGGGGTTAGTGAACAGCATGGGGGCCAGCTCCTCCCTCTTCTCCCTATAAAGGTAACCCAGGGCTGGTCACTGCTGCCGACTCCATGCAGTTCCAGGCTACTTTCTCATTTCTCCTGATCCTTACCTCCTGCTCAAGCCTTCACTTTCAAGAAGGAGGGTGGTATGGAATGGGAGGTCGTAACGCTTAACCTGGTAATACAGCAAAGGAGGAGGCTACAATGCTTGATAAGAAATGTACTCATTATCTTGCCCAGGTCATTGTAACCCCTCTGTAAAGTATTTTCACAATAAAAAAAGTCTTTAAAAAAAAAAGAAAGAAGGGCTTGGAGATATATACACTTGGAGAAGTTTATAATGTAAGTAGAAGAGTTGAGATTTGAATCTACCCAGTCGGTAGATGGGATTTTCATGACACTGGGCTGCTTTTAGAAGTGAAAACTCCAGCTTCTGTGGAGATAGGCAGGGTGGTGGCTGGGTGGGGAGAGGGCAGTTGCTGTGGACAGTCTTGGCATTGTGTCCCAGGGCCAGAGGCACAGTAGGGCTGCTGAGGGTATGGGTTTGGTGCTCTCCCACCACGTTCTCTTTTCTTCTTTCTTTTCTTTTCTTTTTCTTTTTTTGGTCGTGGGGCTTGAACTCTGGGCCTGGGCACTGTCCCTCAGCTTTTCAGCTCAAGGCTAGCACTCCGTTTTTTTCTGCTTATGTGGTGCTGAGGAATCGAACCCAGGGCCTCATGCATGCAAGGCAAGTGCTCTACCACTGAGCCACCTTCCCAGCCCACTTTCTCTTTTCTTTATCAGCGCAGCCACCCAGAATCCATGCAGCCTTTCTAAGGCCATAGGCCCTTGTTGGGCCTCCTTCCCATGATGGTATTACAATGTCAACACTGGTGAATGTGAGTTGTTTGGCTATGGAGGCTGCAGAGGAAATAAAAACAACTTAACAATACAAGAATGTAAGAGAACCTACAGAGTTACCTAATTTTGGATCCAGAACACAGTTCCCCAATGGAGTCAAGATTGCTAAAGGTCTTGAATGTATTTCTTTTGGGCAAATTAAAAAAAAAAAGATGCATCCCTCCCAATGGTATTATTTCTAGTGAGTTCAGAACATCCTTCATCTGTGTATCTGAAATATTATTCATGTTAGCCTCCTGTTTTTACTATCCAGATCATCTGTGTAAAACACACAGAAGTACATGGGAACATTCAGAAGAACCGTTCACTCCATAGTATGAATTACTGACCACAGGAAGATCAAGGTTTATAAACAAGGTAAACTAGAAACCTGTGGCATGATAGTAGGAAGTCCTCCATTGGACGAGGAAAGGATTTCTGGGGTATCATGACAGTGAGAGGTGAGGGAACAAGAGAAACTGGGAAAGAAGAGGAGGAATGGAAAGGGGATCTAAGGGTTTTAAGGCAACCTTAAATAAAAATGAGTGTTTACGAAAGGCTGTATCTACTAAGGCTGTATCACATATCCCTGACACATGGGAGGAACTGAGGAAACTTGGACCTAGTGTCCCCTAGTTTGCCTCAAGCAATACCCATTACTACAACATGGGGGGAGAGGAGGAAAACATGGGGACCGCTGGTTCTTTGACTTGAAGAACTATAACAGAGGAATAAAGATGAGCACGAACTTGTCTAAAATCACAAGGTAGAAAGAACACAGGGGCATCTTTGCTCTCCCCAAATGCCCTTTCAAAGGCCTCCCAGGCTCCCTCTCTCTCTTCGCTCTGATACAGGGTACACAGTGAAATGCAGCTTGAGTGTGAGGGACACTCGCCCTGGAGTTCTCTTCCAGCCCAAACCAGCAGCCTCTGTTGTCCAAGGAAGAGAGCATCGTCCGTTCTGCCAAAGCACTGCACTAAGATATTTATCCACACTCACCACCAACCTCAGTGGCTTTGAAAACTACTCAGAGGAGGGGTACAAAACGCAGCAGCCCCACAGCCCTGAGAACTTGGGAATGGATACAACAGTTCATGCCCCGGCCATGGGAAAGCCTAGTCTAAGAATGAAGTCTAAGAAGTTAAGAAGGATAGGTCGATTCTGCGCAGCCCTGCGTAATTTACCCCTTGGAGTCCCAGACTATAACTTGGGACTGTTAGGGACTATTTGCAGGGACTCTTCCAGCACTGTGTCTATCACATAGTACATGCTTGCTGCCATTATGAGAATATCCACCGTGCACCTGAGTGATCTGAGGCACTCCGTCACCTCTCTGAGCCTGATTTCACACCCATTACCCTTAGATATTAATGACCAATGTCACAGGACAAACTTCACCAGCAAAGTGCTAGCACACAGGGTGTAAGTCTTGAATGACTGTTCACTCTTTCAAAGGTCAATAATTCATTTCTGGGGGGACTGGTAATATGGCCTAGTAGTGCTTGCCTGGCATGCATGAAGCCGTGGGTTCAATTCTGCAGAACCACATAAGCAGAAAAAGTTGGAAGTGTCACTGTGACTCTCAAGTGGTAGAGTGCTGGCCTTGAGCAAAAGAAGCTCAGGGACAGTGTCCAGGCCCTGAGTTCAATCCCCAGCACTGGCAAAAAAAAAATTCATCTCTGGATGACTTGTCCCCCACCCCCACCTCAACCAATGTCAGTGGAAACAAAAAAGACAGACAGAGTGATAAGAACCGATGCTGAAAGTGGTCATTTTATTGGATGGAAAAGGGAGGAAGGAATCAGGAGAGAGGCCAGAGTGTGGGGAAGACAGCGGGGATGAGGCTGGATGCATGGCCAGGCAGAAGCATCACCTCCCGGCTCCTTGTGCTGATGGTGGCTGAAGTTGGAGGAGGAAGAAGATCATGATAATAGCATTAGCAATATATCTGTCATAGGGAACAACAGCAGGCAGAGAGAATCAGGCCCAAACTCTACCCTTCCCCACACTCACACATAGCACCACTTCACCTTCTTAGGGTTCTGTTTGAAATTTCTCTTTAGCTTCCAGATTCATCTTGTCTGCTTCAGATCATCCCTGGGACACCTCTAGGAATACGCCTTGGTCCTACTTGACCTCTACGGTCTCCTGGATGGGCTATATGGACCGGCACATGTCTATCTCCCCAGTAATCTCCCTCCCCCACCCCCACCCTTTTATACCTTCATTCCTTAAATGAAGCTGAGATCAGCCGACCAGGTAGATAACCTGTCTGGATTCTACAAAATGCTTATAACACAGGAAGGTGAAAAGGCCAGTATATTGTCAGAGCTGAAATGTGTACAGTCTTCCTGTCAGCAAAAGTCACCATGCAGGGCTGGGAAGGTGGCTCACGGTACAGTGCTTGCCTCGCAGCCCTGGGTTCAATTCCTCAGCACCACATAAGCGGAAAAAGCCAGAAATGGCACTGTGGCGCAAGTGGTAGAGTGCTAGCCTTGAGCTGAGGAGCTCAGGGACAGCACCCAGGCCTAGAGTTCAAGTCCCATAACAAAAAAAAAAAAATAAAAGTCACCATGGAGTTAAGAGGCGGTGGGCATCCTGGGAGAGCTCTGGGTCTTAGGAAAGTCATCACTCCCTCTTTGCCACCAAAGGCCACACTTTGAAATGGCGAGCCTGGGAGCGTGGGCATGCCCTCCCTCACAGGCTTTGGTTTTCTCAGCAGTGCACTGTGGGTTCCATCAGTGAACCTCATGTTCCTTGGTCAGTTCAATGTAGGACAGGACAACCATGATTGCAACCAAAGGGCCCTTCCACGTCCTTGCTCATTTTACTCCCTTAGCCTGAAACAGCCTCTCCGCCACACTTCACCATCCTACCAACTTCCACTCATCTTTTTATATAGATCTTTAAATTGTCTTGAAGTAGTTTTGTACAAAGGGGTTTCAATTGAACATGTCAATTTATGAGCACACTGTATCTTGTTCACTGTCACCATTTCCACACAGACACACCCCAATTTTTATGCTGGCTCTGGGTCACCCCTCTTGGAAGGCTTCTTGGACTCAAAACATTCTATATGCTGCCAAACCCTGCCTGGGTGATGGTTCCTCTGTTCCCCACAGCACCAGGCACTGCCCGCAGGCCAAGGGAGTGTCACCCACCTTTTACCCACTGAACTACAAGCTCTGCGAGGGGGTGATGGTCACTTTTCGGTCACAGCCTCAGTATTGACTCACTCTATGGACCAACCAAGCAGTTACTTTATGATGTAATATTGTTTTATTTTTAATGTTAGATGAGGGAGAGGGAGATTTCATCATTTTTTATTTTCTTCGCACCCAGAGCCACTAGAAGACCTGAAGTTATCCCTAGGCTTAACCTACTTCCAACACAAAGTTACCTGATTTCTACCACATTTGTCCTATAAAGGTAAACAATTGGCGAAAGATCAGCTCTTCTGCCTGTCATGAGAAGAGCTTCCTATCTTCTCGCCAGGCCTTTCAACCACTGCTTCTTTTCCTTCCACCACTCCTCTCTCCTACAACACAGTGACTCCCCTGCAGCTCCTGGTTTACTATAATCCCAGATAACAAACCAAGAAGCCATCTCTTTCTTTCACGGCCTGCTTCGGCAGCAAGCATCGCCCCACCCGCCTTCCCCATAGATCACAGCCATCCACCTCGCTGCTCGCCTTCCCATCACAGGAGCCCTGCCTCGGCCCTGCATCTCTACAGCTTTTGAAAATGTCACCCAGGCCATGTTCTACCCTACGACAGCAACACCTCTGGGTCTAAGCCGAGGCCCATACACCCCCAAATGAGCTTTTCAGGCCCTTCTCATATCATTCCCTCTCTTCTTATCACTCTTCCCTGCTCACTTGGCCCCAGCCATCTGGCTCTTCTGGAAGTGCCAAGGGATGTCCCGCCTTCCATTGCTGCTGTCCACTCTGTCTCCAGTGCTCTCCTTTCCTCATTTCCCACCTTCTTGGCCAGGCCTCTACCCACTGTCCCACGTGAAAACTGGAAGAGCACCCCTTTTTCCTCTTCCCCCAGGTACTTGCTACCTCCTTTCTATGTTCTTGCTCTTGTGGCATCGATGTCCCACACAATCTGCTTGCATATTTATTTTGCTCACCACCCATTAGATGTAATACCCCACCAGAGAAACGTTTTTGTCTGATCTGCCCATTCACAGCGCATCCCCAGCATCCAGACTGGTCCATGATACTACCAGATGCTTGGGAAATATTTGTCAAGATAATGAAAATAAAGAAACAGATATAAAAGCGCCCATAAAGTGTCCAAGGTGGGGCTAGGATATAGCTCAGTGGTAAAGCGCTTGCCTACCAAGTGCAACATCCTGGGTTCGATTCCCAGTGCCAAAAAAAGAAAAGACAAAAAAAGCACAACGTTTTTCCTTTTCAACCTAGTGCAGATACTCTGGCCCCTTGGCATAAGAGCACCCTTCTCCGAGCCCCCCACCTACCTCAGAAGTTGGGTGTGACACAGGACACTTTCCCACAGCCATTGCGGCAGCATTTCATCCTGCCAGGACACTGACTGTCCACCTGGCACTGGTCCTGGCAAATCCCAAGCTGGGGCAACTCCACACTCGGGCAGGTACCTATCTTTTCTAGGTATAACAAGAGTAAAGGGAGATAGGTTAAAGGGGAACAGGGACTTAGTGAGTTAGCGTGAGCCTCACTTCCCCTTTGCTGGCTCACCACCAACAGAGCTGTCTGACTCATTTTATCTCAGGGGTCTGAGCTACTCTCAGGGTCTTAGGGAGGGCTGCCTCTAAGTCCTTCCTCCTGCTGCTCTCAGATGACTTTGGGACCTCAGTCTGAGCCCCAGCTTTGCAATTTTCTGTTGTTTTGTTTTTGGCCGGTCGTGGGGCTTAGGCACTGTTCCTCAGTTCTTCAGCTTAAGGCTAGTGCTCTACCATTTGAACCACACCACCACTTCTGGTTTTTGGAGGTAAGAGTTTCATAGCCTTTCCTGCCTGGGCTGGCTTTGAACCATGATCTTCAGATCTCAGCCTTCTGAGTAGCTAGGATTACAGGCGTGAACCACTGATGCCTGGCTTAGCTCTGCCATTTTCTGACCTTGAGGTTTAGAGCCTGAAACCTCCCAGAGTCCCAGTCTTTTAGATGTGACATGGAACCAGTGTCATCTGACACTGGAAAGCAATGGAAGCAGACATGTATTATTCTCCCCTCAAAGATCCAAGTACTTAGCAGTTTTTTTTTAATAATGGGTAATTGTAAATGTGAACATATGCCTAGTTCCTGCTATGGCCAGGCATTATTCTAAGCATTTGTCATACATTTGTTCACCTAATTCTCCCATTAACCTGGAAAGAAGAAGAGAAGGTCCATTAACACTTACTCATGGTTCAGAGAAGGAAACCAGAGGCACTGAGAAGTCAAACACTTTGTCTAAGGCCATTCAGGATAAAGGTAACAAATAAATTAAATAAATAAAAATAAAATAAAATCTGAACTGCAGGAAATCTGGCTCTAGAGCCTGTACACAGGCTCCATGCACCATGCTGCTTCAGAAACTGTGAAGGGCAGTGCCATGGGAGGGGATACAGACTCAGACTTTTCCCCTTCATTCACTCCTGGAGACTCATTCCAAGTTAGAATCACTCAGCACCATGGCAATCCATACAGTCTTTATTATCCATGCACAGATGAAAGCATACTTTCTAACACACACACACACACAAACAAAACTATGCTTTCTGAAGAGAGGGATATAAGGCCCATATGTGTGTGTAGATATATTATATATGTACATAAATATATATAGTATATATGTGTGTGTGTGTACAACAGATACCAAGAACTGGATGAGTTACTATAGAGGAACATAAGAGTGGCTGACAGAGACCTAGCTTTCTAAGATGAAGAAATCCCATCCCTGGAAAGGGGCAGGAGCTCCTGACCTGAGTGACCCTTGGGCAAAAGGGAAAAAACAAGGAATCATCCACTAACAAAGCAAGCCACCAGGTACAGCGTCCACTCAGTCATGAGATACTTCCCATGTACCATTGCATTAGCTTTCATGTTCGTCTCAGTCTGAGATGATCATTCCTATTTTCTTTTTAAGACAAGAAAACAGACTCAGAGAGATAAAGCAACCAGTTCAGGATCAGGCACCAAGGAACTTCCAGAGCCGGATTCACAGAAGGGTCGGCTCTCTCTCTGGTTCAGGAGGCCTGCTGGCCTGTTCTCTTCCTGCCTGATTCTGCCATCTGAGACAAGGAAAATAGGATCTTCATCCATCTGACAGAACTGACTCCCTTTGTCCTTCTGGTTTCCTGTCTGGCAATCTGCTTTGGCTTTCTCTCCCCAGCTCCACCTCTCCAGATCCTCTACTTCCCACTTCCCAGCCTCTGTGGGCATCTCTAGGAAAAAATAAAGAGGAAAAATCATGGAGGATCTAATTACAGTACCTCTGTGTTTCATATACACCCCCCGCCACACACACCATATCCCTGTCTCCTCTCATCCTCAGTTTTGTTAGTCCAATGAGCTCCCTCCCCATAGCTTAGCACACTCCTTCCCCTTCCCATGGCTTAGCATGCTCCCTTCCTAGGCAACACTAGGCCCATTTAATGAAGGCTGTAAATAATCAGCCTCCAACCCCCCTTTACCTTGAGATGGCCCTCCTCTGGGACAGCAAGATCCCCTTAGAGCGACCTTCAGGTCTGGGCAGCTGCAGCCCCTTATCTACTAACGTGGGCAGCAGCCATAAATCCATGATGAAGCCCCTGGCCCTCATGTCCACACCAGGATCTCCACCTCCTAAACCTCAGAGGTTATAAAAGGTCACTGGGTACAATAGCTGACACTTCTCTCTCATGAGAGGGGTCTTGCTGGTCCCTTTACTGGCAAGAAACCTTTTCTTTCTTCTTTATACCTAGATGTCTGTGTGGTTGTCTGGCAAAATCTAATTTACTCTTAGCAGTGTTCCTCTCTGGAAAAGAGAAACTTAGATTCTATGCTAAGCGCCATTACCCTGATCAGAGTCCTCAGCCTGGGGAAAAGACAAGACTTCCAGCAGGTGTGACATCAGAGCCTCCAGCGCTCTCTGTCTCTGTCTCTCTCTCTCTCTCTCTGTTTGCCTATTTGCTTGCCTGCCTGCCTGTCTGTCTCTGTGTTTGTCTGTCTTTCTCTCTGTCTCTGTGTCTGTCTCTCTCGCTCCCCCTTCCTCTCCCCCATCTCTCTCCGCCATGGCTGTAGAGAGAAGGAAAGAGGGCAGGTGCCCAGGAGTGGTCCTGACTTCCCACAAGTGGAACCTCCCTCCAGTGCCAGCCACAGGATGGCGGTGCGGCTTGGCCACGCCTCCCTGGCACACGCACACAGGTGCTCTTCCTGGCTCTGAAAGCTCCTGGGAGGGAGGCTTCTGAGGTCTTGGCAGGCAGGGCGCTCCCAGGGGTGGCAGGAGAGGCAGATTCCTAGAGGCCTGCGCCCCTCCTACCTGGGCCCCAGCTGGGGCCTGGGCCTGGGATTCCCCGCAGGAGGCCGCACCCGGATCCCCAGGCTGCCCGGAACCAGGGCCCACGGTGCAAGTCCGGAAACGGTCTTACACCACAGCCCGAGGCCAGCCAGGGGTGGGCAGGGGTGGGCGGGGGTGGGGGCCCTGTCCCTGGCCGCGCCTCCGTGACGCCTTTGCCCCCCTCCCCGGGGGGTGGGATGGCTAGGCGGATCTAGTTTCGCTGCCCTCGGCCTTTCCGGGCCCCTCCGGGTCCCCTTCCTCCCGGAGCCGGGCGCGGGTTACCATTGGGCATGGAGCAGAGGGCGCCGCAGCCGGCCGGGCAGCACTTGCGGTTGTCGGCGCAGTCTCGGTCTTCCTGGCACTCCCGGGTGCAGTTCAGGTCGGCCTGCAGCTCGGGGCACACGCCCGATTTCCCCCCTTCTGTGCGGGGGGGGGGACAGGGGCGCGGGGGGCTGTCAGTGGGGTAGGGGCTGAGCCCCGGTCCAGGAGGATGCGCACCTGGGGTGCCCAGGGCACTTGCTGGGCCTAGGCCCCCCAGGCCCCCGGGGGCGCATCTCCTGGCCAGGGAACGCGGGGGGGCCCCCGGGCAGGCGTGGGCTCGCGCGCTGCCCCGGGCTCTGCACAGATCCCTTTGCTGGCACCGTGCCGGCCGCACTTAGGGCCCCCGTCCCCCCCCATCTGCAGGGGTCCCCCACCTCCAGGGCCTTCGTCCCCCACACCCTCAGC